CCAGTGGGCTTTTGATGGTATTGAAATTAGCTAAAATTAGCCCTTTCGCTCACGAGCTTCGATGAAGGTACTTGTATTGGCCTAAAATATTATAACACTTCGAGCTTTTGCTAATCGAATTAATGGTTTAGAAACAGCAAGACATGCACTATGAGCTACTTAAACTATATTGATAGATATCATCGCGTTGATCTGTACGAGCGAAAAGAAAATGCACAATTTTCGGCCATTTTCGGTGGCGGCAGGCAGCTAAAATGGCGATTTTCGGACTTTCCTCGATTTCGAGAAAACTAAAGCGCTTCAGGACCTTTGAATGGTATTTCGAAAACAACTCACTATAGAGGTTATTTGGCCAAAATATGAAGAAATCCGAAATTTCGCGAGTGTCCTAGTTTGCCAGGTACGGTGTCCCACCAGTCCTAATGTCCGACAATGGTCCATGTTACAGTTCTGAGCAGTTCAAGCAGTTTTCGCAAGATTGGTGTTTTGATCATGTCACATCGAGCCCCAGATACCCACAGTCTAATGGCCAATCAGAAAGATCTGTCAAAACCCTGAAAGAAATGCTGGAGAAATCTGATGACCCGTACAGAGCCCTCCTTTCATACAGAAATACTCCATTGGATGGGGTTAACTTGTCGCCGGCTCAGATGCTCATGGGTAGACGTCTGAGAACCTTCATCCCTGTAACTGAGGAGATGCTTAAAGCCCAGCTGTATGAGCCTGAGGAGGTACTCCCCAAACTAAAGGAAAGGCAAAGAAAACAGAAAGTGCATCATGACCGTACAGGAAAGGAATTGCCGCAGCTGAAGGAAGGCGAGGTCATGCGGAGACTGAGGGAAGGCAGCAAGTGGAAACCGGCCAGAGTTACACAAATTCTTCCATCACCGAGGTCTTATCAGGTGGAGACAGAGAAAGGAGTATACCGGAGGAATCGTCGACATCTGTTAAAGACTCCCAAACACCAGACGTCACAACTGATGATGTTCCAATGGAAATAGAGTCAGATACTGTGCCTGTTGCCACCACCCCTGATAACCCCGAAACACAGCCAGTAGAAATGCCTGTGACGACTTCTACCCGATCTGGAAGAACAATCCGAGAGCCGGAGAGATTTAAGGACTATATCAAGTACTAGAGACAGAGTAAACTCTTGAAAGACTTTTATTAACTTTGTTTGTTGACATTGCCAGTTTTAGGTTGCTGTTAAGTTCCTTTGTTTAGCCATGAAGTTTCCGACTTTGTGCTAACTGTTGCATTGTTACTTTTGTAAAAAAAAAGGGGGATGTAGTGGTCAGCGGTTCTTACGGGCGCATGCTCGTATCAATAAAACGTGTTCTGTGCATCCGCCATCTTGGGTATCTTGTTTTCTACACTTCCTACACTTCAGTGTGTGCAACAAAATAAAATGTGCAGAAGAATTCAGGTCTCGTTATGCGATGTTTGTTAATGGTAATATTAACAATAGTCAAGGTCAGTGATATTATGTATTTTGGTGAAAATTCTGGAAAACAATGTGTTGCTATGAGTTTGTGTGCTTTGATTTATAATAAGATAAATGGAATACATAGCTGCAATGACCTGGTACAAATTATGGAGATGAATAATAAAAAAATAACAATAATCTTTACCCTTGGCAGTGTTTATAACGCAAAGGTTAGTGGGGCCGAGCAAACAACTGAAAAATATTGCTTTGAACACTGTCACAATGTACAGGGCAGGTGTATTTAAAGCAAATAGAATTACCTCAATGATGCTATGTCTGAGAAAGAACACAACTGCTCTTGCAAACAATGCTGTTCTGTAGGGCTTCATGTAATGTGTTACTCAGTGGCAAAGCCTTTTAAAGTATAATTATAAATTACCAAACGTGACAGTGAACGTAAGTGACGTTACAACTCAAATCAACTTCAATACGATTACCGTAGTTTGGCACTTTCATCTATCGGTCGGTTTCATGATTTCTTTGAGACATGCATCTATTAGCATGTACATATCACACATGTTATTTTTAGAACCGCTTCGTTATCAACACTTGTAGCAGCACGTCTAGCTACAGCCCGACTTACGATCTTAGATCGTCTTGTTTGCAAAAAGAATACCGTAAACTTCCGAAAGTAACGAAACCGAGTATATACACACGAAGTGATCTCAGAAACAGACGAAAAGGAAACCATTAGAAGTTGATTTAATTGACCTCTCAATTTATGCGTGGAAAACGTGCAAACGGCACGAAGCATGCGCGAAACTACGTAGAGAATTTTGAAACCTGGCAAATCTTGTTAACCTTCGAAAATCCTCGTCACAATCTAGAAAAATGGTCTTCTAACAGCGTTCAAAGTTCACCGTTCACCGTTCAGCAACCTTAATCAGAAGTCTGCTTGCAAAATAAATTCACCGTTCAATGACTTCAATCAACGTTTTCTTTTTTACTTGAAATGAAACTTGAAAAAGCAGTTGGCGAAGGATCGACCTGAAATTATACCGTGTGCGCAGGACTTTGGTGAAAACCGAGAGATCATCAAGGTAAGAGAGTGAGTCCTTCATATAGGCCTCATACCCATGCTAATCCCTCTTAACTTAATTTTAGACATGGTACTCAGCTCATCCGCTGATGTTACTCGCGCATTGCGTGGATATTTTCGTGGAGGATTTGTTTATGTTTCATTTCGTTTCAGGGCAAGGGAAAACCTCCAACGCTGTGGAGATGTCTTCTTTGATACTTTAGTATCAAAGAGGGAAAGGAGCTTCGGCCCTCACTATGTTTTAATACATTTCGAAAATATAATAGGAGTTTAAATACACGACAGATGTCCCCAGCAAAACAATTTTTAAACCACAAATCTTGCAAGAATTAGATTCAGTTAGTTTGTCTCAGTCACCGTCAGAGATATCCCAAACAGAAATAGTAAGACAACATCAAAATTTAAAAAAATAAATTTCCACGTATCGTGCGAGTAACATCCTCGGAAGAGCTGGGTAGTGTGTCTAAAAACAACTTTAGAGGGATAACCTTGGGTATAAGGCCTATATGGGGGATTCATTCTCTTACCTTGAAAATCTCTTCGGGGAAAACTGAATGTTTTCTTGCACAGCAACGTGGAGGTGCCTCTCTGAATAGCACTTGATGCTTCTGCGATGAACCCTGCGGTATTCATTCTGCCAATGCCGGGAGAAGAACGACTTGGAAGTCGGGTTTGCTTAGATTAGTGAAATCTGTGATTGCCAAGGGCATGCCCTGAAACTGCTCGAAAGTCGAACGTCGGCAAGTCTTTTCTATCCTTTGAAAACTTTCAGGCCAAATTTTATAGCCTTCTTTGTGTTTTCTGATACAGCATCTTCCGTCTTCAGAACACTTAGGACCTTTTAATGCTGGGGTAAACCCTGCGATGGACTGGCATCCTATCCAGGGGTAAGTAGATATAGGTCGCTTAGTGTTACGTAAGGCGGGATAAGCTCCGCCTGTATGGGCCATTGGCCTGACACAGACTTTACCTCACCTTACACGGTAAATTATATGCACGATTAAGCAGGAGTTAAAGAAGAAAGCTTGTCAACGCATAAAGAAAAGACCATGCTATAGTCATTATTAGCCTTACCTATTCCATAAATGATGGGTTTGTGTAAACCTCTTTCAACTGTGACGTTAAATCCTGTTGATAAGTAAAGAACGGGGAGGGTTTAAAGTGAATAAAAGCAGTCCTCGTCCCTGTATAGCATCTGCAAGTTTGAGGCTAACTTCAAAAATTTGAAATCTGAAGTCTGTAATTGTAATTCGGAGGTTTTAATTTATATATAAGTCTGAATTTGCACGCTAGTTTGATGTCTTAAAGCTGTCGTTTCGAGGATGGAGTCTGTTAATTTTCCCCTACCACATACAAAGTTTACTTGTAATGGGCATAGTATTAGTAGTGGTAGTGGTAGAGGTAGTGGGAGTGGTAGTAAGAGTGGTAGTGGGAGTGGTAGTGGTAGTGGTAGTACGAGTAGTAGTGGCAATGGGAGTGGTAGTGGTAGTGGTAGTGAGAAAAATAGTGGTAGTGGTAGTGGTAATGGGAGTGGGAGTGGTAGTGGGAATGGTAGTGGTAGTGGGTGTCGAAGTGCTAGTGGTAGTGGTAGTGGGAGTGGCAATAGCAGTGGAAGTGGGAGTGGTAGTGATAGTGATAGTGGGAGTAGTAGTGAAAGTGGTAATGGTAATGGTAGTAGTACTGGTAGTGGTAGTGGGAGTGGTAGTGGGAGTGCTAATGGTAGAGCGAGTGGTAGTGGGAGTGGTAGTAGTACTGGTAAAGGGAGTGGTAGTGGTAGTGGGAATGGTAGTGGTGGTGATAGTGGGAGTTGAAATAAAAGTGGTAGTGGTAGTGGGAGTGTTTGTGCTAGTGGTAGTGGTAGTGGGAGTGGTAGTGTAGTGCAAGTGGGAGTAGGCGTGGTAGTGGTAAGCGGAGTGGTAGTGGAAGTGGAAGTTGGAGTGGTAGTGGGAGTGGTAGTGGGTGTGGTAGTGGTAGCGCCAATGGAAGTGGTAGTGGGAGTGGTAGTGGCAGTTGTAGTGGCAGTGGGAGTGGTAGTGGTACTGGGAGTAGTAGTTGGAGTGGTAGTGTTAGTGGGAGTGGGAATGGCAGTGGGAGTGGTAGTGTTAGTGGGAGTGGTAGTGGGAGTGGTAGTGGGAGGGGTAATGGGTGTGGTAGTGGTAATGGCAGCGATCTTATCTCTCTTATTCTTTCGTAGAAAAGCAAACAGTTTACTTTGGGTTTGTTGTATCGCTGTTTCTGGGACAGAAAGCATGGAGGCAGTATAGATTAGTTAAGACAAACCTAGAGATTTTGCTAGCATAGTTCTTCCAAAGAGCGTCAGGTCCCGCGACCCCCATATATTAAGCTTCGTTTCCATTTTCCGTATTTTGACATAAAAATTATTGTTGTTGTTGGCAGCTGCATCGTGGGAAAGTTCCAAGGAATTTTATGGGATCTTTTGGACACTGGAATTTTAAAGGCTCTATCTTATTTTTGCTCAAAGCACCAATCCACAAGGCTTTTGTTTTCTTTTTATTTAATTGCAAACCGGACAATACTCCAAATGAATTAACTTTACTCATGGCATTTCTAAGTGACGTGGTATCTTCAAGAATCAGGGTTGTATCATCCGCAAACTGTGAGATCTTAGCGTTCTGTCCACTTGGGAGTTCGATGCSCCGGCAGAGTTGGTTTTGGCGTATTTTGAGGGCTAGCATTTCGACCGCTAACACAAACAAAAGAGGACTCAGGGGACACCCTTGACGGACACCTCGAGAGACGTTGAAGTAATTAGTCATTGAACCCGCATTCATCACGCCACTTTCAACATTATTATAAAGAATGGATATCCATTATGTAATATTTGGACCAAAGTTGTATAATTCAATACACTTGTGGATAAAATTATATTCAATGGTGTCGAAGGCTTTACGAAAATCAATAAAAAGTAGAATGCCTGAGAGTTTTTTAGCCTCTGTATATTCCATGATATTGTGACGAACGAATGCGTGACATTATTTGTTAATGCGAAATCACCACGTTGTTGTAATAGGATCTCCGGGAGAGGTCTGAGTCGGAGAATTGAGAAGAGAATTAAAAAAGACGCGTGTGTATTTACGTGAAGGATCTGTCCTTTTTTTCGGCGCGTTACAATATCATTTAAAAGCCAAACATTTTGG